TGAGCACATTTAAAATTGCTAAGATGCACAGGCCGAAAGTAACAAAAAAATCCAAAGTAGGATAATGGAAGCTAAACAACTCCTATCACGTCCCCAATTGGTGTGAATGGAATTGCAATTCCAATGGCACAAGGGAGGCAAAGAGACACATACAACACATGTAAAAATAGAGCTGGAGTCATGTGCATAGGAGCTTAGAGACTCTTTACAGCATTTCGTCAAACAGTTGGTGGCCATCACTATGAGCCCAAACAAATTTAAACATAAAGTTTGGGAATGTACAAAAATTACAAAATACAAACACCATAAGAATTCAATAATTAATGAAAAACAATTACTCATTCTATTCTCTGGCATTTATGTAGATACAAGGATTAATTGAACAAAATCAAACAACAAGAATGAGAGAATTCGAAATTACCGTAGTAAAAATTTCAAAACCCTAACTTGAAGTTTCTGTACAAAGTAAGAGATACACTTGAAACCTTCAAGAATAGAGTCCAAAATCGGATTGCACTCGAAAAAAGAAGTTGACGATCAAGGGCGGAACTAGGAATTTTTCGACCGGTGGGCTAGCTAATTTTTTTTAACTAAAATACAACTATGCATTAAATCATATAAACCATGCTAATAGTATACATTAAATCAAATAAAAGTATAAACCACGTAAAGTATGCATTAAAAAATATGTTCAACAACATAATTAAAAGTGTACTTATTGAAGTTGTGCCCTGCGATCCTTGAGAGAATTGAAATCTTTTGTTATTACATCTGAATTGATATTGTCGGCAAGTTATTTTTCAATGTAGACAACCATAGAATCTGCTAGAAACTCATTCTCCATCTTGTTGCGAAGAGCTGTTTTAACAAGTTTCATAGCTGAAAAAGCTTGTTCAGTAGTTGCCGTAGAAACAGGGAGAGTTAGCACAAGACGGATCAACCCATCAATCAAATAATATCTTTCTGACCTTTTTGTTTCAACTAATCCTCGACATAATTTAGAGAGTGTAGACACTTTTTGAAGTACATGATGATGAGGTACATCTGCCTCGTAAAGTTTCAGCTGGCATCTCAAAATATGTAACTCTTTTGGAGTGAAATCTTGAGGATAAAATCTCTCTGCAAGGCTGCAAATTTTATCAATATCAAATGATTTAAAAGAATCACTAGGGTCCAAAGCTGAACTAAGAAAAAGAAGTTCCATTGCCCCTTCACTAAACCTACTATTCAACTCTGCCAATTGAAAATCTATTGCATCATTGAATATGTCAAAGTGGTAGTGATGCTCAACTGTAATATTGTCCTTTTGTTAACAAGAACGACCGGTTCCCACTTTATATTGAGCATTCATATCAGGCATATCAATGTCATGTTTCCTGCAAAACAAATCTACTTTCCCAATAAAAGTTTCCCAACCATTTAATCTCAATTTTCCAAGGACATCTTTTGTTGTACCAACTAGGTTCATAGCATTCACAATGTCTTGAGACTTATGTTGTAGTTCTCGATAAAGAATATCTGTGAGTCCCATAATTTCTTTCAATAGATGCAAGATGAATACAAATTCGAATTGCCTAATCGCATTGTATCCACCTGTAGCTTCCCCACGTAAGGAGCCTGTGGATCCATCCTCCTTTATATTCTCAAGAACTATACAAACTGCATCATACATTTCTATTAAATCACAAACAAAATCGTAATGAGAACTCCACTGAGTAGCTCCAGGTCGATGCAAGGTACCAATTTGATTAGCTCCTCTACCAGTCTCTCTTTCACCAGCAATCAACAGCTCTACAATATTCATTGATTGAGCAACTTGTAACTCAGTATGACGTTTTGGAGAAGCCCTAATGACATTGACAATTGAATTCAATGATGAAAAGAATAACCAAATTGTAGCCACTTCTTTTGATGCTGAAACTAATGCTAACTGTAGTTGATGAGCAAAACAGTGTACATAATATGCATATGGGCAATCTCTAAGAAATAATGCTTGTAGCCCATTCCATGCACCCTGCATATTACTAGCACCATCATAACCTTGACCTCTCATCTTGTCAATGCATAATTCATGGAGATCAAGTACTTTCTTGATCTCTTTTTGAAGTGTTGATGCAGTAGTGTCTTCAACCCACACAATGTCAAAAAAACGTTCACGTAGAAAACCATCATTATCAACAAATCTTAAAACAATAGCCATTTGCTCTCTATTTGACGTATCTTGTGATTCATCAACAAGGATACAAAAAGCAGCATGCCCAACTTCTTCACGAATTTTTTTTCTCACTTTGTTTGCGAGAATATTTAAAATCTCCTTTTGAATCTCTAAAACAACTCCAGCCACCTCATCATTAAACTTTGCTGTATGCTTGACCATTTCAATAAAATTTCCACGATTTTTAGAATCCAAAGATTCATCATGACCCCTAAAAGCACATGCCTGATATGTAAGCCACCGAACACACTTTATCGTTGTCTTGAGCCGTAACCGGTTTTTCAAAATGTCTTCCTTTGATTGTCGATTAATAACTTTGTCAACATGTTGAGACGGGTTCATCAAATCCTCCATACATCTTTCACAAGTATTATGCGATGAAGATGGACCTCCAACATGAGTCAAAAATACACAATTCTTTCCATCATTAACTCTCACTACTACAAAAATCGAAATAGACGACGGTAATCCACTGTCGTGTATTTGGTTTTTCAACCGTCGTGAAATCGAGCGACATCTTTTGATGCATAAAACCACGACGGTAAATCCCCGTCGTCTATTATTTGTAAATACGACGCTTTTACTCAAAACCGTCGTCTATTATATGTAAATAGACGACGCTTTTACTCAAAACCGCCGTATATTATTAAGTAAAGACGACGTTTTTTTATAAAAAGGGTCGTCTATTATGAAGTAAAGACGACCCTTTTTATATGAAAATGGTCGTCTATTATGTGTAAAGGACGACCCTTTTTATATGAAAATGGTCGTCTATTATGAAGTAAAGACGACCCTTTTTATATGAAAATGGTCGTCTATTATGAAGTAAAGACGACCCTTTTTATATGAAAATGGTCGTCTATTATGAAGTAAAGACGACCCTTTTTATATGAAAATGGTCGTCTATTATGAAGTAAAGACGACCCTTTTTATATGAAAATGGTCGTCTATTATGAAGTAAAGACGACCCTTTTTATATGAAAATGGTCGTCTATTATGAAGTAAAGAGGTTTTGTTAAAAAG